AGTGAATGTGGCTCAGTGATCACAGAGTCTAAAGCGACTAATTGTTTCAGGATAAACGATCGACGTTTTATAACAAGAAAATAAATAATAATCATGTGCAATTTTAAATTATTATTCCCTATTAAATAGTTTGTTTGCATCTCTAAATCTCAGACAATTAATTATCCGAATGACTGATAATGATTCATACAGACTGATATTCAACCTTCATTTATTTTTAAACAAATTTTCGCACCTTGCTTGTTTTAATTGCAAAACTATATCAGTGCATTACACCACCACAATATTAATGCTAAATACCCGAGACCCTATGCACACGTATCCGGATATGCGCCCACATGAAGCGTATTCGAATCGTTTTTGCCCATCCACAGGTAAACGCGAAAACGAAGTAATTCAGTTAAAAACAAATCAGCGCGTGTTTGCTTTGGGTTCGCTTGATGCTCGCTCTTTCTTGAATTAAAATGACTAAATCAACAAAAGAAACAACCAAATTTTCGTGGTCTAGCTGGTGAGACGGAAAGCATCTTCATCACATTCATTCCTTCTTTCAAACACTTTCCGTGCAGGGTTAGCATAGTAACATGAAGCTGAATGCATGCTACTCAGACTTGAAATTATGAAATAGGCCAGAGTAAAATAGCCAAGCAATTTTAGTTCACCATCAGGAACAGATACAAAACACGGGCCGTTAATGGCCCGTTACAGACTGAATCCGAATATCCATCCACAATCCGTCCACACGTATACACAGGAACGGCGTTTTCGAAAAACTGCACTCTGGAGAGCGTTTTTGAAAACCTCCGCCGGGTACGTGTGGACGCAAGGCCAAAACGGATGAAAAAACCTCCGTTTTTAAAAATATCCGGATACGTGTGGACGGGCATGAGGTGCGCGTGAGCTCCACGCAAGGTCATACCAATGTACGTTGGTATGGGCTACGATAAAAGAGATTGCTACCAGGATACTGGTTCGTCATATCCAAATGCCTGCTTACATAAATTACACTGAGACACCGATTAACGTTTTAATTATTTATATATCTGCGAAGACACTTGATCAGTTAATATTTAATGAGACTATTCATGAGATCGATCTTGCTCATTTGTTCGAAATGCCTGTTTACGCCCATCGATGGCCCGACGAATTCGTTCATGCAGGCAAGCGCCTCGATACCACTGCAAAAACGTTTCTCTTTGGAAATGTCTACAACTTCGCATTCGTGTCTTCCGGCATTTTTGGTGATATATTTGTACCCAGCGGACTTATGCTGAAAGCAAAAAAGAAAGCAAACTAATGAAAATGGAATATTTAATTTAACGACAAAAATGCTTTATTTTCCGATTGCTCGACTGAGTGAAAAAGAGTTTTTACATGCATGACTGAAAGCTAAGCTGCAAGGGTTTACCTACGATCACTATCGTCAGCATTCTCTTCGCCATGATTTGTAAAATTTTAAAAGCCTAAATGAAGACAAAAATAACTTTATCCTATCCACATCTACTTACATATTATCTTAATCAAAATGATCGATGTAAATGCGTGTTCATCACGTATCTTTCGTTTTGTTTACCCCCGATGCAGTGAATCCTTCAGTTGCCTCATCGACGAGAGAGGTTCATGTCCAAGTTCTTCGTAGAGTTCTTTGTCCTTAGATTAGTCAATAAACCACCGCTCATGCATAATTAAGGCTTTCAATTTCCCAAATGCTGTACTTTCTATTTGTTTCTTCTATCATGCCATGACATGGAAGGACCTATTTCTTGAGTTCCTTTTCATCAGTTTTCATTCTGTTAATTCTTTCTTCCTTCTGAAGTGGACCATATTTCTTATCGGTGGCCGCCGTTTTATTCCAGCTCGCCTTAAATACTCGAAGCGCCCAAAAACTTTAATTTATTTTTCAAAAAACACGAGATTGATAGCTAAACTAGAAATTTCAATTATCTAATCAAAGTGATATATCATAGTTGTGGATTGCATAATGATATAATCGGCTTAGCAACTATTTAATTATTGCATGGAAATATATATCTATTCTATATGAATAACTGCATGTAAACATTTGACAAATGACCCAAAAGTCTTTTGTGACGACGTTTCTGATATAGCACCCGTTGACGTGTAAAGTAACAATGAATGCATGACGGCATGCATGAGTTCAGTCGTATTGAGCAGGGCGCAGCTGCCAGCTAGAACGCAAATTTTGGGGTATTCTTATATTCAGTTCCGTCCGACGGCGACGGATTTCTATTGTAAACTATTGAACATACAAAAGAAATCCATCGGCCAGAACTGAATAGATGAATAAACACCCCCATAAATCATCGTTATAACCGTGTCATTGGTATAGAGTATTTGCACCTGCATAATTTTATTTTCGCTCTGCACACGTATAGGCCTCACTGTGTACGGCGATATATTAAAAATAAGAACAATGCGGCATTTTTTAACAACTTTTCATCAGTTGCAGCGTAGCTAAAGACGGCTGGCTGGTGGTCGAACCTTTCGCCACATCACATAATTTGTTACATCATGTAGCGATTGCTTTCCCTCACGGCAACCCTCAGTGTCATTAAGGTTTTGCTAGAATTGCCGCTCCGTATAAAAAAACGTACCTCATTATCTCATGTGTACAATTACATCAATGATGGTCTTTTGTTGATATAGTTGATACTGTTTTGCTCATTTTTACTGCTTCCTAAGCTCGTTTATGTTAATTATGCCATCTTTGGCGGTGTAATTTGCACTCGAATTCCTCGAGCAACGCTTTGAAATTCGACTTTAAAAGTAAAGTAATGAGATCGGTAATGTACACATCTACGATGTAAACATGAAGTTACAGGATTTGGCAGGCATCCCGCTGTCCACGAGAGAATCTCCAGGAGATGTTTATCTTGTGTCTCGGTGGGAAATTCTGTTACCATAGGCAATAACGTGTGCAACGGTGGAATCTAATACTATTTTGGTATAGCTTCTGCTTGTATATGGATAGTAAGAATTTAATTTACGGGTTAAGGCACTTGTTTCAGTTGGTTTAAACATCGCACGGCAATATCTTCGTACCTGCAAAGATTGATTTTCGCGATCTATAATAATCATTGTCGCCTTGACGACGTTGATTCATTATAATACGTAGAAATAGCGCATGTCCTCTAGCTTGAATGCATATAAGTTATTTAAACATACAATTGTGTGGACAAAATTTAGTTTCATCAATAGCACATACTCGTTGCTTTTCTGCAAAAATCCTAAAGATCTTTAAGATCAATCATTCATCAAAAATTGTATGTTACTTCACTGGCCTATCCATATATAAATGCAGTTGCTTTGTAGAAGGCTTGCATGGAAACGATCGTCCGCGACAGCACTTTCTCGGTAATGACTTTAATTATTTCTTATTTTCATTAATGCAAATGCGGTTATAACTCTTGCTATATATATATAAAATGAGGATGACGTCCACAATCTCACTGTCACTGTAACACTGTCACTTACATGGAATAGGTTTATATTCGGAAGTTTGAGCATTTCCTGTTTGTACTGTGCTTTTTTTACTTTTTCTTTGCAAATATATAAATCTGGTCTAGGAAATTATACCGTGTCCCTACATATGTACACTACAAAGTCGAAAGTTTAATTGCTGATTAGACAGAGCTAAATTCAAATTGTCAACATGAAACACATAGATTATTAGGTTTAAATTAATTATGGCATATTGCTCCTTGGGTGCCATTTGCATGCCAGAAATAATACAAAGATTGTGCGTTTCACTGACATATAGATTAGCCTGATATATCAATCTTATGAAAGAAATTCGGTCCACAATGGAACTGGCACTTGAATCATCACCGAGTCTCTAGATCTAGTTGAAAATCCGACTTCAGAAACACGTACGGTATAAAGGTAAAAAAATAAACTATTAACCTGCAAGTGTGAATATCTGCTCCTAGTGATAGCACTGTAAAATTAAACGTGTGTGCAATAATAACCCCACAAAGAAGTACGTATTTAATTTTAAGTTGTGGAATAGTGTGTATAACGGACTATGAAGTATCAAGTATATAGTGTCACGATCACTGTTTCACGCCGGTCTTGTCCGGCAATCAATATAGGTATGAGCCAAACAGGACGCGCGTGGAATAATAGTTCATTTATGTAGTATATACGTAGTTGAATCCAATTTTGCAACGACCACTAAATAAAGGAATTTATTTATTTGATTTAATCGATTTAATTTGATATACTCAACTCTAACATTTCATGGACTATATGGCTTGTCTATCTCCAGAAGTGAGACTATACATAGACAAGATTTTTTTCTTGCTATATTCATCTTGGTATAATATATGCACGCAGATGGGGAGTTTCCAGGCACAACCTGATAGTCCCGATTCGTACAAAAAAGTGAGGCTCTAAACGAGCTTTATTCAACCAGTTTCGATGAGGCAAATGGACATCCCAAATTATGAGCATTATTTCCACTAAAGCTGCGTATAGTATAATGATGTAACTTTACAATTTGGCGGCTGCCGGTTTACTTTGTGATCGCAGCGGGGGCGGCGACATCTGCATGGAAACGTCTGCGTAAGTTTACGAATAAAATAAAGGAAATTCGACGAAAGATTTAGAAATAAAGTATGGAATACTGGAGAGATGCTTCAAGACTTTTAAGAAGGTCATTTTACACGATTAGATGCATACGATTCTTGCATACGATTCATACGCAGCTTGAGAGTGCAGTCGATCGATCAATTTCATTGGGTATAGTCCGCGGTCTAGTGTTTGCTGAATGTTGATATGATCGCTTTGAATTGATAAAAATCACCCAATATAAACAGGTTTAATAGAATAATGTTAGAATTCGTATGGATTAGTATGGAATTCGTTGTTGTCTGCTACACTTTCGATAAGGAACTGTTATTTGTTCATTCAGAATGAAGTTAAATTCACGGTATTTGACATAGATACTAATATTTCTTCTTTTTTAACCCCAAACGTAGAATTAAAGTGCGACAACACTTATCAAGCTGGAAGTAATGGACAACACATCGATCACTAATTCGACCCAAATTCCAGAAAAAGGCGAAAACGTTCTGATCATATTCTTGGACAGTCTGATCCTACTCCTGAGCTTATCTGGGAACTCTTTGGTTATTTACACTATCCAAAAGGAACGCAAGCTGCAGACAACTTGCAATTATCTACTCCTGAACCTAGCAATATGCGACATCGTCGTAGTTTCTCTTGGAACATCAATTGATATTATGTTGCAGTTCACAAAATCGAAGTGGATCTTGGGTTCATTTCTATGCCATATCATCAGCCCAGCTCTGACGATGTTCTATATTTCGGCGTCCCTGATTTTGGTGGTTATCTCCATAGATCGTTACAAAATGTTTGTTCACCCGCTAAAGGCGCGCTACCAGCGAAAGCACGTGAAATACGCTGTGATAATCGTTCACGCCATCTCCCTTTGTTGTGTTTTGCCTTTCGCGTACTTCTCCACGATCACCGACGGATACTGCTATGATTCCTGGCCAGAGATCTGGTATCGAAAGGCGTATACGGTCTTCCTCTTTCTAATGCAGTACGCGATCCCTCTTTTAATAATGGGATTTGCATACGTTGGCGTAGCTATCTCGCTGCTTCGCAACAAGTCTGCGTTCAAGAAGAAATTTGATAGCCAGGCCTCGACTCCTATGAAATCACTAGTAAGTTTAGCATCCCGGTCTCAAATGCACGACGGTTTAACTGAAAACGAGCACCACAAAACATCGGCGGTTTGCCGCCCTATGAGCGATGGCAAAGAACGAACTATGTCTGTTATATTAGAAAACAACGGAAGAGTAAGCAGTGCGAAAAGTGACGTCAACCAGAACAACAAAGCCGGAGGTAAGAGATCTATAGAACGATGCTTCAGGCCTTGTCGTAAAAGCAGAATCTCTGATGAGAAATATCTAATTCATAATGGTGATAAAAATTCGAATATTAGACCCGAAGTGAAGAGCCCCACCCAATCCGAGACCACTCGTGAACGGGGACCATCGTCACCGGATCGAATGCAAATGAAACGCGCGAATGCTATTCGACGCCGCGATCGCACCGGGACAGTCTCAGGCACGCCGTCAAAACGAGATCAACGCAACAACCGCGCCCTTAAAATGATCCTACTTGTTGTTGTCGTTTTTGCCCTGTTCATGCTTCCTATGCAAATCATGAGCCTGCTGCTAGACTTTGGTGGGAAACCGACGCCGGAGAAGTTTGAAATATACGCTTGGTTTGTAATGTGCTCGTATTTCGGCAGCTGTACGCTCAATCCTTTCATCTACGGCCTAGTAGATCGAACATTTCGTGCAGGATTCAAGAAATTTGCGAAGAAGCTCGCTGGTGTGTGGAAGTGCTCGTCGAACTAGAGTAAAAAGGACGTATTGCGAGCACCACGATCAATGATTGCAGTGAAGATGTGGGATGTTCATTTGGCTATGCATGTCCACTTTAACTCAACAAATGAGAAAACTCATGCATCTTTTCATGTTTGTCTCTCGATGGACATAATCAGTATTAGACGTTTTCTAGATCTGACTGCATGCATTTCGGTAAAATGTACATCCGCCATTTTTTCCCGATATCGCGTGGATTGTTTCAACTTTGATGGTGAAATGAAGTTTTTACTTTACCATTCAGCTTCCGGCCAGAGACAATTTTGCCATCATTATCGCCCTCTCGTCTGCTTAGTCTTCTATTTATCAAAACAAGTTATATTATCAATAACCGCAGACCCAAGTGTAGATTCTTGATTAGAGTGATTTTCATATATAAAAAAAATGATCAAAACATTATAGAACTGCTATTGCCTGATAGATCAGTCCGTATAACTTATAACAACAAATTAATATGTTGTGGTGGCGTTTAAAGATAGATTTTATTGTCTATTTGCACGTCGTGATTAATAATTATACGAATATTGACGAATCTTTGTACATTTAAACGGATGACAGTTGATATACATAGTACTTTTGTTTTCCACTTTATACACCTTCTTGCATCGTTTTCAGGAATGGTATATTTATAGTTATGCAGGTTTTTTCCGTAGTAATAAGGGTTAAAATGAATAAGCTCACAAGTAGACTGCATGAAAAAATCGTACTGAGCGGGAGGTGTGGAATGGCCACCACTCGCCACGCTTGAGATGTGTGAAATGGCCACCACTCGCCACGCTGGAGAGGCGTGGAATGCCAACCACTCGCGACGTTGGAGAGGTGTGAAATGGCCACCACTCACCACGCTGGAAAGGTGTGGAATGCCCACCACTCGCCACGCTGGAGAGGTGTGAAATGGCCACCACTCGTCACGCTGGGAAGGTGTGGAATGGCCACCACTCGCCACGTTGGAGAGGTGTGAAATGCCCACCACTCGTCGCGCTGGAGAGGTGTGGAATGCCCACTACTCGCCACATTGGAGAGTTGTGGAATGGCCACCACTCGCCACGCTGGAGAGGTGTGAAATGGCCACCAATCGTCACGCTGGAGAGGTGCGAAATGCCAACCACTCGCCACGCTGGAGAGGTGTGAAATGCCCACCACTCATCACGCTGGAGAGGTGTGGAATGCCCACCACTCGCCACGCTGGAGAGTTGTGGAATGGCCACCACTCGCCAGGGTGGCGGCAAACTTTATGTTTTTACGGCAAAACTTTGGACAAAAACAAAATATTTTACCTTACCACAAACAGTCGGGTAGTATTTGACAAGGGGGGAGGGGGGGGGTTGTGTCGAACAGTTTTTCGAACATTTCCGAATACCTTAAGCGCGAATTATGGGTGCGTTAGAAATTTGCGCGCTTAATTCTACTAGTTTGTTTGCCACTGTAGTAGAACGGCAGTATTGTTTTCCTCGTCTTTTTTTTAAATATTATACATGCATAGTCAAGTTTAAGATTGTTCAATGACAGAAAGACGGTTTGTTTGGGCATCTTTTTCATGATTTCACAAATTACAATCATCAATTGATGAACAAAATGCTGGACAAATGTGGTAGGTGAATATTAAACAAATGATTGCCAAGGCAAATGACTTGTTCATTGCATCTATTTTACCATTAAAATCTTAGCAGGGTATGCATGCATGATTGTCAACAATTTGGATGTTGTTCAGTCAACGGCGCTGGGCTGGTAGCATCACCAAAGTTAGCGCAACAATCTGGAAAAAGTGCAGTGGAAATGTGGGACAGGTATTACAAAACCATATAAAACTGGGCTGGCCCTTCGTCACGAAATTTTAGACCGTAGGCCTTGGGCTGGCGAAATACTGAACTATAAAACTATAATTCAAGCTTAATTAGCTAATACTGAAAACTCAGTGGACAACCGCCGGCCACATGACTGCAGCGCGTATTTGTTCAATTCATTTATTATACACATTTATAAATACAGAGTAGCGTTTCAAGTCACGCTCAGACAAAATACACGTATATAATTGATGTTTACAATATTGAATGATGTTCTTAGATTTCATTGTCAATTTTTGGAATCAACGACAAGAATATGCAAGTAAGAACATGAAAAAATGATTTTATCGTATCAAGATTTACAAGACCAATTAAGCATTAGGGTCTTCAGAGAAATACTTACCAATACAATTGACCTTTTGCATTATGTACAAGTTAATATGATCTATAGGTAACAATTAAATAAATCACAGCAGCCGAATAGAGCATATTTAAATTAGTATAATTGCCACGTTTGGCTGCAAAATACCATGCAGGTAATACGGAAAATATATAGCTATGCAAAGTACACTATATATAAGCATTTTTTGTATACGTTTGTATTACAAAAGTATACAAAATCTGCGGACTTCGATTGGCTATATGTTTTCCGCATTTCACAATATTTCGCAGCCAAACTTGCTACGTTTAGTAGGCCTTTTTCGGAAATTCGCGTCTTATCGCCTAAAGTTTGTCTATTATTCAAAAGTTCAATGGACAACTTTGATAAGTATAAACAAGTAACTTGTATATAGGAACATAAAAAGTTGACTTATCATACAACACGGCATCTAAAGGAAGATTGTGTTAGTCCACACATCGATTAAGGGCTACAAAAAAATATCAAATATGAAATTTTGTTCTTATGGTACATTACTCATGTGAATGTACATCTTAAGTTATCAATCTTCATTTATTTACTCTGTCAAGAATCAGTTGAGAATTGCACAACATTTAATATCGAAATCGAAACAAATACAATATTCCAGCGTACTGATCGGTATTGCAAAAAGCACATCGATATCTTAACGCGGATTTCTTGCAGGAAGCGAATACGGACGCTTTTTACTGGAACCTGGGGTATATCTGTTACCACGACCAGAATTAAATGATCTTATCCTGGCAAATGCCGTGAACTCGTGATCTAATAAATGTTCCTCACCGTCCGGAGACATCTGCTCGCTCTCAGACAAACTGTTTTGTCTCTCTGTCTCTCCTTCTGTAGCCAATAACAAATATGGCGAACTTGTATGAACACCGTTGGAAACTTCTGTGATATCGCTTTCGACCTGCAGATGGAAATCTGGCTTCTCTTTATGGAAACTTGTAAACAAATCAGTAAAAATTTTGAATGCATTTTTAGCGTCCTTCACACTAGCGCACGAGAAAATATGAGCATTAACGGCCGAGTCAACTTCCCCATTCACAACTAAAATCAAGTATTTCGAATACTGCTTCATATGACCGCAATATATCACTTCCTTGATGTCACAAAGACGAAAACTATTTTCAGAAATCCCCTGAGTGTTTTGAATATGGATAGCCGTAGAACAAACATCAACAAACAGACAGACTTTCCTCTTTGTATCTTTCTTCGACCAAAATTTCGCGAACATCTGTTTGGGTAATATATTCTCTACGACCTCATTTACATACGTGAATTCTTCCCGCCAAACTGTTTCGCCGATGTACGAGACAATAAAGCGACATTGTGGGCTGTTTGAGACTGCTTTTCCACCATCGTTGTCATCACAGAGGCTATGAAAGCGAGATCGTCTTCGATTAAGAACAGACATGTCTCCTATATCAATGCAGCAAAAATTAAAAGTTGTTATGAAAAGCCTTCTTAATTGTATATAATCCGATTAATGCTTCAACCGCTAATGTGTCTTTTAAATGTTCTTTAACTGCTATCAATAATCGGTTCAGCGGTAGGACTTTTGTAGGTTTTATACAAGATATGCTTGCCTCAGTGTAAACACAAATCAAGCGAGAGTCTTGTTAAGATGGCGTAATACGAAAATAAATACATGCTCGTATACCTATTCCTGACGGATTGAACCTTTCCACAAATTAACGTTGTAGCCAGTAGCCTGAACTGCAATGGTTAACGGCCCATATACCGAGTTACGAGATGAGTATGAGTCACACTCTATTGTTCGGTAACGTTTATAACTTTAGTGTTGTTATCGACTTGTTTATACAAACGAAAAAGGCCGGCACGAACTGATCTTCATCCTAATTTGTATATCTTGATATTTGAATAATCTCAACGCGACAAGCTTTCAGTCAAGTACTCTCTTCCGCTTTAGTGTCTTTGATTGGACAAGGCGGAGGCGTTAAGTGCATATTGATAATAGAATACCAATATTGGCATTAATTAATACAGGCTGCATGCATGCACGGACAGCACCCGTGCGATAAGAAAGCGCTTCTATAACCTCTAAAGCCCATATCTACACGAAACTTGCTATTGCAACATATCGTCTGCATGTTTTATCCTGCATGCCCACCGCGCTTTTGTATCTCTAGGTTACAATATAAGCAAAACTCAAATACCGCTAAAGAAGTAAAAATAATTCATATTCCTGTTTCGTTTTCTGATTTCCTAACAAAATTTCCACGATATTCGTGAACCCTCATTCCGACCCCCCGTGGTAACAGGTCGCAAGCATCGTTACAATTTGTTACTACATATATATGCATGCTCGATTTCTTGGCTAGAATGCATGACCTTCGCTAATTCAATAGGTATCGTCCATTCAAATCCGTACACCTTGAACTCTGAAGACGAAGGGAATGATTTTGTAACTTTTATCCACTATTTCCATTCAATTCGGAAAATTTCGTTAAGACCAAGTAGATTTTCTCATGTTGACGCATCTCTTTTGGCTTATAGTATGAATTTACCATGTTGTTTCTGAGTTTATCAACATTAAAACTCTATTGTCCCCTCAAGTTCTTCAATATACTCCCTATTTAACCCCAATTATCCTCCATGTTATAAAAAAGGCAAAACAGCGAAAAATTTCACATTTTGCAAAGGAAATTTCGGAACAAATTTTTAATTTTATGATTACAATACTGTGATCAAACACATAACTAAAATTTAGGTGGTTTCGTTACGCAGGAACGAAATTGAATGATATCAATTTCGCCCAATGGTCTAATTAGTCTTACTTCAAAGTTTAATGCTTCAAAAGCCGGAAATTAAACCTTTATTGTTTTAATTTGCTGTGGTAGTGTGGGGTAAGTATATAATTATCATAGCGTCGCTATTCTGACTATATGATTATATATTTTTTCTTTCTCAGCAAAATCAAAATCTTTTTATGGAGGTTCAGTCTTTTAAAACGATATAATACAATATAAGATAAAATGAGTTATGATAAAATTTTCGAAGCGAGAAAATAAATAGAAGGCTGACCACGCCGTTCCTGCATATTTGGCCTAGCTAAAATATCGCACTTCTCATCCGCCGAACGCAAAAAAATAACAGATAATATAACAGTTTAGTTTTTTACATACGTTGTTTTAAATGCGCTCGGCGTATAAGAAGTCCATCCTGATTGGCGTATTCCCATCGGCGTGTAAGAAGTCCATCCATGATCCTGCTTACACCAGATTAAAGGAAATAAAATGTCTTTTAGGTGTTGTATTTGCCGTGACAGTTCTTTACCGTTAAATGTATGAGAGGTTTAAGGGAAAGTCGAATTGTGATGAAAAACGTTCCGCGAATATGGCTACGGTAAACATTCCCGGTCAAGGGTCTTAAAGGACCTGAAGTATCGTTGTACTTAACCCTTGTACTTAACCGGTACCCTTGTACTTAGCGTTTAGGGGCTGGTTGTATAAAACTCTTTAACTACATTTTGCATAGTTGAATCCTAGTTAACTCAGAAATACAAGACTCTGATTGTCCTTATAACTACGGTTAAGAGTTAACAAGTCTTTTATACCCTGGCAACTGCCCCCATGCAGTTATTTCTAAATAGTCTTATGAAGAAACCGCAGAATGAAGTGTTCAGGTTAATTGTCAAAACGAAAGTTATATTTTTAACAGTAAAGTCGACTTATGCACAATGTAAAGACGATTTCACCACCACATCAATAACAATCAAAATAGTGGAAAATTTTTGAGATATGTTGCACATATAAGCTTGACTTACGGAAAATATCCGCATTGTATCACGGTGTGGGACGAGTTCTACGAATGTTTTAGTTTCCAGTAAAATTCCCCGTCCATATAATAAATAGACCACGTCCAAAAATCTGGTCGACCGGGTGAGTAAGTTTTGAACTGTGTTTGGTGAATGCAAAACACCAAAGGAGAAGAGTTATTTCAAAATATTATGCGGCTATCAACAATGTTATCAATGTCAATTAACGCCATTATAACTGCAATGAACACGAAAGTATATTTAGCTTCGATTCAAGTGTCATTTACTTGTCGGCGTATCCCGAGAAATCTTTTCATTTTTACAATATCTTAAAATTAAACAGTAAACATACTTTGTAGATCTAGATGCTTTTCAGGTTTGCAAATCATTTTTAATGTTGAAAATTTAGAATGTTGCATGAGAATATATAAACTGAGGTTTTAGGCATATAGACGCGACATAGAAAAATTAAAATCTTCTCTTAATTGTTTTTATACAGCGTATAAGCGAAACATTTCGCCTGCTTCTTTTGAATTGTGAGCCATCAAGTAGAATTAACTTATTCAAGTGGTCGAAATGCAGAAGAAACGGGCGAAATATTTTGCATTCCACCGAGAGAAAGCGCTCGTGGAATCTGGCTTTTAGAAATATCCCGAATTAATGTAGCTACCGATTTCGAAAAGTGATGTTTCCATGAATTTTCTTAAAAAAACAAAACTACAGCATAAAAAAATCTAACGAAAGTTATTTCTGAAGTGGACGAAATAACGAAATATGTTTATTTATATATATCAAATTTGTGTTCAGAATCATAAATGAGTAGCGTGCTCGTATACAAAAGTATATAGAGCTCCTAAAACGATCTAAAATACAACTGATAAACTTGGTTTACTTCATTGTGCATGATAGATGAACAGCGGTAAAGGGCATCGTGACCAACCTCGTTCCCAGTGCGTGTTTTTGCCGTGGACATACTCGTACTTGTCGTGGTCATATACTATAGGTACTTTTGAATAATGTTTAAAAGGATGATCGTTATAAAGGCGATTTTCAATGCGTGTTTTGTATGCTGCGTTCGGCAGAATCGGATAAGAAAAGTTCCTTTTATTGTGACTTGAACAAGTGGTTTCAACTACACACGAAACGGCCTTAAAGCCTATTACTGCCATAAGAAAAAATCTATGTTCAAGGAACATTCAATGCTAAAGTGGAAATGAGCCCCTATAAGTAAAAGCAGGACATGCGGAGGAAAAAAGTCCATGAATATAACCCAATTTACACCATATTGCATGCCCATATATATACTCTACTACTAAATATCCGTCAGTCGGTAAATCAACTGCAAATTTGTGTCACACGGAGTGCCGAGTGCGTATACACAACGAAATACATATATATTTTCCATGTGGGACCAGGCCCAAGTTTTTAGCCAGACGGACACTCTGTCGATAGTTCAGTTAAGCCACATTTTTAAGCCTGATTCTCATATGTCACCGATGGTCGGTGATGGCTATTGTCGGTGATCACATGAGAATTTAAAGTGCTTTGTTATTTCGTATAAATTTTCTTCGTCATGCAACGACCACAAACAATACATCGCCGACCGTTGGTGACATACGACAATCAGGTTTTACAGACATGTTTCTAGCATATAATTATAAATATCATGCGGAGCTTTAATTTCAGCACTCAATACCACCGCGATCATATCAACCGTGGATTTTCCAGCTTTGTGGCTATAGTTACAAAATTCATTTTATAATTATATCGCTTATTTAGTAATATCCATGCATGTCACTTGCCAGATTCTTAAGTTAGGTACCTACCAGCTGTTCTGTCTTTATCCGGGTAGAATGATTTGCTTCAGAATTGGCTTCACGTCGTTTTAAAATAAAGTCAGACTTGCCGTATCGTTAATTCCGGTTACTATAACAGACGTAAACAGGACGTCAGTATACATATAACTACGAGCAAAACTCCTTAAATACAGGATGCAATTGATGCTAAGCATATACGAGCCATTCGAAGAACAAAAAGATTTGAAAATTGAAAGCCTTATCGCTGACAGAGCTGCCCTTATTTAAACACTGGAATATCTTAATTAATGTTTCTATCAATTCGTGCTTACTAATTAATTTCCGATTTGGCCAAGTCACAAAAAAGAATTTCCGTTCAATATTTTTTTAGCAAATATATAGTCTACATGTCAAACGTGGCAAATTCTTCAGTTTTTCACATGAACTCATTTCGTTTTGAATAGCGAACCCGAGCAAAATAAGCCGTCATAATCATAAACGAATTCACCCCTATTGGCTCATCTGATCTGAGCCAACCAATGTATTTTTTAGCAAATATATAGTCTACATGTCAAACGTGGCATATTCTTTTTCACATGAACTCATTTCGTTTTGAATAGCGAACCCGAGCAAAATAAGCCGTCATAATCATAAACGAATTCAGCCCTATTGCATGGCTCATCTGATCTGAGCCAACCAATGTATACCTACAAAACTCATCGCGGAACACAGAAAACAGCGGCACTTCCGTGAGGTCTTGATAATATATTTGAAATTTGATAAAGCGTGGCTTCGTTACATTAGGAGCTCAGCGCTGACAACCTTATATAGACGTGGCGAGATCACTATCAGTGGCGTCGCCAGCTTGATAAGTGAGGTGGGGCTTATTCATATATTCGTGTTTTACATTATTCATTTCTTTTCAAATTGATTGTACTAACGGTCTGTGAACATGAATATATGAATATGTCCACCACACTTATCAATGCTGCATGGCGACACCACTGATCACTATGACCGAAAGCTTTGCAGTATTGAATACTTACGTGGTCTGTTGACTAATTAATAAGAATCAAATCCATTATTATTAGGTTCGACGAATAAAAAAGTTCGACGCCAGAAACAAGCTAAAGATGTCACTGGCATGAGACATTTGGATAAATAGTGAATAGTCAAGTATATAAAATGACACCATGACATTATGACAGGCATACATGAAAACAAAATTCGGATTGCAGTTTCACACGATCGTTTTTGCAACCGCTCTTTTCATATCCGGCAAATACGTCTACAACAACAATTGTCTTAAGTGGCCATTTTTTGTTGGTATTGAGCTAGAGGATAAAGGGCCAGTTAAGATCAAACAAAGGATCTCATTACGGCATAAAGCAGCATTCATGAAATAAATCGATGGAATGTGGTCATGCATATTTAACAAAATTCATTTGGTTTCAAAATTTAGCTGCAAACAATCAAGTTATTTCAGAAACATAAAGGGTGAGTAAAAAAAAACTGACACCTTTGAAATTCAAATTAGCCGCGAACTTATGGCTAGAATTTGTCAATTCCCATTGTGTACAATCAACAAGACGTGGTTAAATAATTAATGCGAAAGTGTTTAAACCAATTGAAGTAATTCCACGTTCTTTTTTATTACAGAGCTTAGAATGCATTTTAACTCCCAAAGGGAACAAACTTAATTAATGGGTTCACTTATTTGATATGCTTCGTATACCCATAAGATATTTTAGGCAACTTCTGTCACATTACAGCCTATTACAGACACATTGCAGCTAATTTGAATTTCAAAGGCGTCAGTTTTTTTTACTCACCCTGTATATTGATCGCAATCGTCATTCTCTACATCGCTAGCCTGAGCCGCGACTCCGTATACAGAATCTGCTGCACAGCCCCTATAGCTACGTTTTTTCCGTAACCTAACTTGAGCAATAATAAAATTGAATATACCGGTACAAATTTTAACCGTGCCGTGTCAATAAATTGACTGTACCGTTTGTTCAAACCGTCACTGATTTTTAAGTTGCAGCTAGTGGGAAAATATCGATCAGATGAAACATCGGTAAGGATTCCTTTAAAACAAAAAGTAATATAGAACTGAAACATTACAATTCCATCACCAATAGTACGTGCCATTACTATATGCAAGGACCGGTGTCCCAGGAAATATAGCCCCCCTTTCGGAAATTTGGCCCCCTCGAAGGCTCGAAAACATAAACTTCATAGTTTATTGCCTTGAGTTCGAGAATCGCGAAGCTTCTTCTAAAACTAAAAGCAAAATCGTAAATCTTTGTTTGTATGCATACTTCATTTATTTGTGTAAAAACTTTTTATCTCCGCGAAGCCGCTAAGACGAAAATTGTTAATGCGCACGTGGCTAACCTCTAGGATCATCATAACATTACTAGGGCTTTAATCGAAGACAACATTAAATAAATAAGTAAATAAGTGGTTATTTCCTAAAGCAACCTTTTCTATTTATCTATAATCGCTAAGCCTATAATAATTTATAAGGTCGTCAAATTTAGAATTTCTGGGGCAGACAAATCACGTATTGGGCAATTTGGAAATTTGCTCCCCCACAATAACATACTTCATGCATATATATGTATGTATATATATATATATATATATATATATATATATATATATATATATATATATATATATATATATATATATATATATTTATATCTATTGAAATCGCAAACCCGTGACTCAATATTCAACAGGTTTTATTATTAGAATAACAACCACACATTAGCAAGCGATGACGGCATCCGTTGGCGAAAGTGTTAATGTGCATGTATGCGGCTAACATTTAGGGAGTAATTAATACAAATTTGCATAAAAAGTTAAAAACGTTTAAAAACAATGGGCAAATACGAAAACATGCATCATACAAAATCCGTCACTGTTGTTTGAAGCCTATGTGAAAAAGACTAAAGAGTAAAGAGTAAAGAATGCAGCAAATGATTGCTTAAAAGTTAAATATTCACAACAACTTAAATCCCAAAATATTATGCGATGAATGGCTTTATTAAATTAATATGTGGTATGTTTAAATGTAGATACAGCTAACATGATCCTTGAGGTTGTGTAGTCGTTAGATATTCATATATTCTGTTCTGTTCTGAAAACGCGTATATGCATGGCATATCTAAGTGGCCATTTCGTTGTTTTTTTTGAGACCCGCATGTTGACTTTACCCCTTTATCTATCATCCCACGTAAATCAATCGCAATTATCACCTCGTTTATAAATCCGGAAAATTTTAGTGATCTACTGTATATTGCATGATGCATGATGCATGAACAACACTGCATTAAAATTTGGTATAATTAAAATAACAACTGCTTAAAATAGACCAAAAACTTACCGAATATCGACCTTTCGTCCCGTGGACTTTCGTCAAGAGACCAGTATAACTAGCGCTCCTGATGAAAGCTCTAATATCGAATTAATGAAACGTCAAGAAGCCTTTTTAGGCATGCAGCTGCTATAATTACACCAAATTTGACGAATAACCCTAAGGCCAATGTTAAAAGGGCAATATTTAAATATTCGCAGGGGGGTGGTTGCTTCTCTACGAAACTTGCTGAGTGACGAATCATGGCCAATCACACTTACGGCTGTATTCAAAAAGCTCACTCACACTCACACTCATGACTCATTTGTTATTACTGATCAAAGAGAAAGTTATCTCTTAGCCAATAGAAACATCTTAGGTGAAAAACTAAAACCAAGCTCTTATTAGATTGAGCCGGACTAACGCCATTGAAACGTTATGAGAAGATTGAGATCTCCCACTCAATGAGTTTGAGTGTGAGTGAACCTTTAGAATACAGACGTTAATAAAGCAAAAAACAATGAAGTTAATTGTCTAACTGAAGGGTATTCTGTGGTAGTGGTGTAGTCAGCGTGACACTAGCATATGCTTTTAAGGCTTTAAAAAGTTTCAGTATTTTCATTAATATTATATCTCAACTGTAAATTATCCAATCAGAAAGCTCGATTTGTACCACGTGATCAGTCAATTATTCATGGAGTTTCATCGAATTTTCCTCGCATTATACTATAAAAGTCGAATACCCCGCTGCAGCGTGGTACTCGACTATGAATACCCCGATATATTTTAAATACTTCTAATATCAGCGATCAAGCCGATGATCAAGCTTTGATTTGCTGTTTTAACATTTTGCCTTTTCTAAACGGAACGCTTGCTACGCACGCAACTTACCGTATTCCCGCGGACAAATAAAGGTTACCAAAATTTTCATTTCTTTAATTCAGATATTAATTCCGTTGATAAAGTGGGTTTTGAAATAAATCAATAAGATTGCTTGAAATAGAAGACACATTGCTTGAATTAGAAGAACCAGAGACAATGTTTAGTAGATTAAATCTTCCACGAGTCTACGATTAATATATATTAATCATCCATACTCCATCCATGCAATCATCCATTCGGCCCACGTAAGGTAATCCAAGAGATTTTTGGATTCCGGATTCCACTGCTTGGATTCTGGATTCAACTCCTTCACATTCGGTTGGATTCAGGATTCCACATTACTGATGGATTCCGGATTCCAAGTTGAAGGGAAATAATCGCCGTTTGTGGCATACCGTTTGCCTATATTTGCGCGGAATCATTAGGCCCGATTTATACTATAGAAACAGATTATTCGTCTGGTCGAGTGATTCCTCTGACGGATCATTAGTCTTCGTGTGTTTATACTGACAGATTATTTGTACAAACGCTCTGCATAGACGAACTAAGTAGACGAATATGCATGCCATCAGACGAAACAGAATAATCATGCATTTAGAAAGTGACCGGAAATCGGAAAATTACTCATCTACGTGCTAAAAAGAGTGCACGTTTATGATGAATTTTTAGCAGTTCGGCCCTAAACCGTATTCAGTTATACTAGCATCGAAACGAACCAACCATTCAAATTCGTGACTATTCGTCTAAACAGATGATTTGCAGATAATTTGTGTTGACGGATGATCCGTCTGTTTGCCCGTGTTTGATGAACTAGAAGACGAACAAATTTTGCTTGCCCATGTTCGTCTAGATGTTCTGTCTCTAGTATAAATCGGGCCATTGTTTTTCTTCGCGAACTGAAAAATCTATATCCTTCCCTACTTTCGTGTAAGATAACTTGATTAAAAATAAATTTTTAATCGCAAACTTGTAAATTCGGTAAATATATTGTTGATAAAAATCATTTGTAGGTACAAACAAATTTTAAAAACATGATGCATAAAATACACTTGTGGCCCCAACAGCTCACAGGGGGATTA